TGGGGCCCAGGCCTGTCAGGACACGCACTTGTGTGTCAAGAGAGCCCAGCCGCCACATGTGTGTTCATGGAGCTGGTGTGAGAGGAGTTCTAGGAAGCAGCACACAGTTGCAGCACTGAGTCCTCTGAGGTCTCGTGTGGACCAGCAGTGATCGGGACCCCTCGAGGGCCCAGCGCTTTCTGGGAGATGCTCACAGCGCTGGTTGGCCCATCTGCCTATCATGTTACCTCCGGCTCCTTTTCTGTGGGGTGTGCACCCCAAAATCCACTTGTGACTTCTCCCACATGTCTGTGGGCATACCTGTTTCTCCACAGGTCCTGGCAGGGACTGCCTGTTTGCATGTATGTCTTCCATGATGTCTGTGCATCTGTGGCTCCTGTCCCTGTACCCAGGCCTGTATCTCTCTGCTGTGTGCCGTCTTTGAGTTTATAGCCAACATCTCTGCTCTGGATCACCCTGCCCCGTGTATGGGTACAGGTGGAGATGGAGGCTGCTTGTTCTGTGTCGTTACCCTCACAGTCACTCGTCATGATCTACAGGATGGAAATATCTGAGTGGCTGCTGGTCCCCAGCCCCTCACGGTCCTCAGTGGAGGTGCAATGCCTGGCGGGTCTAGGAACTGGCCACCATGGATCATACCTGGACTAGGCCTGGGGCCTGTCTTTGCTCCACCACAGCCTTTTTGCCACATTGCTGTTTAATATCCCCAGACTCTCTGTTCCTCCTTCTGTCTCCCTCTTCTTGTTCAGCCTCTCTTCCTGGACCAAGGGTTGGTATAGAATGTTGAAGCTACTGCCTGGTGGAGCCTGGGACATAGTCTCTGGCCTGAAGGTGTAACAGGCCTGCTCTCCCCATTTACAGTGTCTCCCTCTAAAGACACATGTGGTTGTGGCTAGAAGATGATTTGGGTCTTGTGGCACAAGCATGGAATGAGCTAAAAACATGTGAAGACATCTTGGGCCAGAGAGATGGCCCAGGGGGTGAAGTGGAGGCAGGGGGACCTCAGTTTGGCTCCCTAGCACCTACGTAAAAGCCAGGCCTGGCAGGGTACACTCACAGCCTGGGGAAGACAGAGGATCCTCAACCAGTCAGTTTAGCCAAAACCGCAAGTTCTAGATTCATCGAGAGACTTTGTCGCAAAAAGCAAGGTAGAGAGTGAATGAAGAAGACTTGTAACTTTGACCTCTGGCCCTCAAATACAATGGGTGAGTGCATCCATGCACAAATGTGTATGTACATACACACACACACACACACACACACACACACACACACACACACACACACAGAGAGAGAGAACATTTGGAGATGTGTTGGTCTAGGTAGAGCTCAGTAAAAAGGTGGGTGCCAGCTGCTGATCACATAGCTATCTGGTTGCTTTTTGTTTGTTTGTTTTTGTTTTTGAGACAGAGTCTCATAACCTAGAACTCTCTGCAATCCTCCTGCCTCGATTTCCTGAGCTGTGGAGTTATAGGCACGCTCCAGTACATCTGGCTCAGTGGACCCATTCCTACATGATGGGTAGTGTGGCCCTCACTTTCCTCAGCTGAGGAAATCATCTACAGGTTGTTGGAAGGATTAAAAACATCTGTGCTCATGGTCCCCAGCGCAACTGTGCTGAGAACTGATGGTCAGTAACTATGCATCTCTTTTCCCTATTCCAAGCCCCGAGGTGCTGTGGGGGAGCTCCCTGAGGTGCTGTAGAGAACGCAGGCATGCTTGGACAGCCTGGGAAAAGGATTTGTTTTCTGGGGGTAGGCCAGAGAATCCGAGTCAATTCACCCTTCTCTAGGACTGATGCTTGGCCTTTCCCCCAGGGGAACTGTTTTAAGGGGAGCCCTGTTCCCTGACAGCTAATAATGAATGGAGTTTCACGGAGCAAGGTCGAGACTGCTTTGTGTGTTTGGGAACTGTTGTTCTGTCTGATACATCCAGGCCTGGTTGTCATTTCTAGGCTCACAGGTATTTCTGTGTGGATATTTCAGGCACAGAAACCAGGAAACTTAAAAAAAGCCAGTAAAGGCCCTTGCAAATTCATCCTTAGGATCCACACTGGGAAAGAAGACAGCTGAATGGCTCCTGCAAATTGCCCTCTGACCTTTACACATATGTGGAGCATGAGGCTCCTTCTCTCTCCAAATAAAGAACTAAATGTAACAAAATAATTTTTTAAGAGAAAAAAAAAACTGTACAGTGGTGGCACATACGGCAGAGACAAGCAGAACTCTAGGAGTTTGAATCCAACCTGGTCTACATAGTGAGTTCTAGGACAGCAAGGGCTACACAGAGAAACCTTGTCTTGAAAAAAAAGAAAGAAAAAAAAAGAAAAGAAAAGAAATAAGGGAGGAAGGAAGGAAGAAAAGAAGGAAGGAAGGAAGGAAGGAAGGAA